AGTTGTAAATGGAGCCTCTTGTTCCTTTGCAAGCTTCCTGCTCCATGACTGACCTAACCAGAGATTGGGACCAGTCACTGGGGGACTCCAGAATGGTGATGAGGCCATCGTTTCCTTATCCCACATGGAGCCTCTGTCCCAAACAGCTGTTGTACTAACARCCATCTCAGATCTAAATGACACTTAGAGCTCTGCTCAGGCATCTTAGGGTAGAAAGGAGCAATTTTTTCTTCCTATGGCTGGGAAAAGTTTGGACTCGCGGTGGAAAGATTTACACTCTGCCTTCAGGTCCTGAGCATTTTCACTTGTGCTGGGTTGTTTTGCATGGAAAAAATGTGTAGGCAGCCTGATTGTTGATCTGCARCAAAGAATGAGGAGGCTGAAAAGAAATGCAGCAGCAGATTGGTTTGCACTGGAAAAGGTGTGAGATGAGGRTGGTAGATTCTGTGCTATCAGAGCGAAACAATTTTGGTATCCCTTCACACAGAACACAGCTAGGACTGAGTCCCACTGCCRCATTGGAATATTGCAACTCCTACCTAAACTTTCCCTTTGAAAGAGCTGCCAAAAGACTCCTGTGGCTGCCAGTCCTCAGAGCRCTGCTGGGAGGCAGAGGATGTTTTGGTGTGTTTGCACACTACTGAAATGGCTTTAGCAAATTAAGAAGGGGCATACTGGCAGGTGGCTCAGGCCTCCCTCTGATAATGCTGCTGCTGTTACATTTGCACAGAACTTGATCACGCCATCTTCTGAATAAAATCATGCTTACTGCAGGGCTCTGAAAACAGGTTTGGGYGAGCCAAAATGGAAAATTTCTAAGGGAAACATGGCCTATGTTATTGACACAGTGGCTCTAAAAAGCTTTGGGTGGTGCCAAATTCAGCCTGAAGCATGAGCACCAGCATAAAAGATGTAGCTGAACTCTATCAAAAATAGCAGTTGGAAGCAGTTCTGAAACTTTCTTTAGAAAACTTCAAGTCTACTTTGTCTCTTCTGTGCTGTATTATTCACATTCAGGGTTGTTTGGTTTTTTTTTCATTTCAGTCAAAAACTAAACCCAAGAGAGTAAAAGCAATTTACAACTGTGTAGCAGATAACCCAGATGAGCTGACTTTTTCAGAGGGAGATATTATTGTAGTTGATGGTGAAGAAGATCAGGAGTGGTGGGTGAGTATTTTGCATTTTCTGTCAACACACTTTGAAAGAAAGAAATCTTAGAGGTTGACACTCACTTCAGAAGATCCCCTGCTGAGTTTCCAAATAACAAGAAAAGTTCAATCTCATGGAAACCTGAGATGAAMTTTCAAAAGTAAAACTTCAGTCAAGCTTTTAGCTTTTCTCATTAAGRAAAAGAAATAAAATCTTATTAGGAGGGTTTACAATACACTGGGGACATGGTCTGCATGATCCAGAAAATTTTTGGTGCGGTGTCAGCAATTTCAGAACCTRTTATTACAGATGCTGTATAGTGTGCTTCAGAGGAGGGCTTTGTATTGTCCTAAGTCTTCAGATGACTAGGACTGAGTCTACTTGAGCTGGGAAACCATATCAACTGCTTACATTCCAGAGTCTCCCTGGCTAAAGCAAAATCTTGGAAAATTACTTCCAGATTCTTGGAAACACTTGCCTTAATCTGTTAGCTAGTGAAGAACAGAGCTTCAGATTGTATCTAAATTGACAACAATGCTGTATAAACCCAAATAGATTCATGTAAAACCTGAAACTGTTGAAGCTTGATTCATCCTTTTGCCTTGCAGTGATTGTTAAAGAAGGAACTCAGCAGAGGCCAAATGTGGGCTGCCAGGTATTACAGGTTATTCTAGAATTATGCAGTAGTGGTACTGCAGTAAGAGGTTTTATACTCAAAGAACTGARTAAAACTTCTGCATTTGACAAAAACCCAGCCTACAGTCAAACATGCATCCTGTAGGACTGAATTTTCCTATTGGCAGAAGAAAAATATCACTACTGAAGACAGGATTTGGTGGGAGGCTTGCTGTACTACATGCAGGAAGGTCACTGGTATTCATTTTGGTGATACTGAAATGTATTTTGAGATTTAACTTGAAAAATGTCTGGACTCTTTCAGATTGGTCATATTGATGGAGATCCCAGTCGGAAAGGAGCTTTTCCTGTATCATTTGTGCACTTTATTGTTGACTAGATTGCTACTGACAAGTGGAGACATTTCTCATTTCCAGCGGTCACAGAAATAAGTTTTGTTCTATTTCATTTCACCTACCTATCTGCAGCCACCTTGCCAGAGCACTGCCCAAGTCCTAGGTACTGTAGCATACTTTTTTATTGCCATCGTTCTGATTTTGGGACTTTTAAAACTTTTTTCTATATGAAAACTTCTCATAAGCAGTTTACACTTTTAAAAAGAACAACTCTTACTGTATTTTTCAAGGTGAACTGAAAAGCTTTAACAATCAAATTCCACGTGTCTGAATATCACAACACTATGAATGTTCTTATGAATCAATTCACTGTAATTTTATTCTCCCTTTTGTAATATGACAGTACAGCAGTTCAGTGTTGCTTCCCCAGTCAAAGAAATTGTGTGTGCATCTACCAGGGCAGTGAATTTTTCCWATTCTCACACCATTTGAAGTGCAACATGCAAGATGCTGCTGTGTTGTTCTGAAATGGACTCATTTAGTGTCTTGCCTACTGGCTGTCATCAAGGATKCCAACAGTTGCAGAAGAAATTGTTTTAATCATGTGTCTTTGGCCAGGTAAAAGTAAAAAAGTATTTCAGTTTATCACAGGAGAAACTTCTTTCTTTTAGAATGGATGTAGATATTTGCTTAAAGTTATCTGAAATCTGTGTTAGTCGTTGAACTTTCTAGATCTAATTTTGTGAGCTTGAGACTGTTTCGTTTTTCTATGCTGCACGTGTGTAGGACCTGTTTTTTGAATGTTCTTTATGTATATTACATCCATTTTGGTCATTTAATGTGACTACTGCTGGTTAATTAAACTATGGCAATATTAATGAGTTACTACATTAACTCAAGGATTTGAAAACTGCACTTCCTGAAATGTACTTAACTATGATGATGGATTGCAGAGCATTTCTTACACTTGTTTCATTATAGCATTTAGACTTTGTTTTTAAATTCTTGAATTTTCCTTAAATCATCCAGCAATGTGTTCATAGAGAGAACATATTGGGTGGAACACTTAGGTGATTATCCTYGGTCAATAAGATACCTGACACCTCACAAGTTCACTACGTTATGTTCTGGTTTATGAAATTTGTGTGCCACTACCTTGCAAACAATGCTAGTTTGCCAACTCACTCTGTATTTATATACTATACCCACATATATGGTAGCTACACTGTTGTTGAAACTTCTTTTACTGATTTGTGAACCAAGGCTAGGCCATGTATAGTTCCCAGTTGGTTGATGGAATATAAAACACCAATACAGATCTAACATCATTTTGATGTTTGCATATTGTGAAATTGTACCAGGTTTTGCTTATGCTACAGGAAACAACTGAGGCATAGGATACGAAAAGTCAATGTCTAGGTCACATTGGCTTTGATCACGTTTTGTGAACATTGTATCTCTAGATTTATCAAKAGAACTTTGAATTTCTGGCAAATGGTGCTTAAATTGGCCATTTCATATTGGAAGGAATGGAAAACAGGCCACCACCACCATCTGTGCTTATTTGGAGAAAAACGGCGTTGCGAAAGTGCTGGAAGAGCAACACTGATCTCACCCTGTATCACCTTTCCTGAATGGTACCGTTGGTTGATGCCTCTCGGGCGTGTGGGTACAGCCACGTAGATGTATAACTCTCACTTCCTAGATGCTGTTGCTGCAGTATAAATGGGGAACAAACTGGAATGTTTCAAGATATTTTTATTGCAAGTTGAAGCAAATTAGTCTGTATTTTCAAAGTTCCCAGTAAAATGATAGAGTAATAGTTTAGCACTACAGTTTTATTCACTTACTGATACGTTCAGTTTGCAACACTATTTTGTATGTTTCTATCCCTGATAGAGTCTAGAGAGTAAATGGGCATATTATTTTGCACAGATCTCCTAATGTACAGTATTTTTAACACAGAATCTTATAGTGTATGTAACAATTCGTAAAGTTAAAAAAATGATGCAAATTTCCCTTGAGTTCTGCTAGAAGAGGAATAGAGTAAAATGTCACAACTTTGTTCACTGGTCACTTAGAAACCAGGAAACTTGTAGATTACAACTTAATAGTACTAACAGTGCAGACAGATAAAATCCCAAGGACCAATAAAAAGCAGCTAAGCAAAATTTATCACTTGAATTTTTGTGCTTCATGAAAGTTTTTCTCCTCTGGCAGAGAAAAGCTAAATTCTAGAGCCTGTAGATATCTATTTATAATATAAAATTAAGAATTTTAAGTCCAAAATTTTGACGTATTTCATACAACTTTTCAAATCTGATTCAAAAAAACTGTTAATAGACAAACTATTAGGTTGCTGTGTTAACTGTTTAAAAAGGAGCAAGTGACACTTAAAATGCAGCTTAGAATGCTATGAGATGTATAATATTCAATTCAGTTGTTTTTATTTTGTTTAGTTGCAGAGCAACTGTATATATTGTATAACCTAAAATCAACTCTTATTTTCAATGTCCTGGATGCAGTGATTTATAATTAGAGCATGATTAATAAATTTTACTCTTGTTAACCAGTCAAATGTCTGGAAAAATAAAACTACTTTTAAAATSACTTTTTCTGCTGCTGTTCCTTTGCATTGCTTAAACAATATTTTTTAATGTATAAAAATGGCAAATAYAAACAAGTATCACTTGAGGAAAATATGTACATCTTGTGGAATTTAGCTGAACAGAAGAACTGTAGATGGCACACCTGAAATTAAATTAGAGGGGTAAAGTACCAAAGGACTCCCTCTTACCACTTAGCTTTTGTTTTTGTTCTGATATCTGGGTTAAGCAGAATCAAAGTCTGTATTAACAAATTGTTTCTCAGACAATGAAGTAGAAGCAGGTGTCAGTTTTATTTTACATTTCTGCAATATTGACATTAATATACAAAACATGATTTAAGAAAAAAAAWTGTGTTAAATATAAAATTCTGTATTGTCCTGGACACTGAAGGTGGCATTGTCAAGTCATGTCTTGGGAATGCCAGAGTACCATGTGCAAGGCTGTGTGGCTCTTCTTTGCACAATAAGTCTTTCCTACAATTGTGTGTGGCTCCAACCCATCCGTGGCATCATGAGGAGCCCTGGTGCCTCCCACACAAACATTGCTGCAGAAGGAAATCAGGACTTCTCCGACATTAGAACTGAATCAAAGGCTGTAGACAGCACTTTGCAAATGGCTTGTGCTTGTTCCTAAAAAATCCAAACATACACRTTAACACTTTCTGAAGAACTTCTAAACTTCTCAAAACTCATTTAAAACAGAACGTGTCCTTCACTTTGCTTTGTGAGACCAGATTTGTGTGGCCTGCAACGAAACGTGGTACATGAGCTCTTTCAAACCAAGTCAGAGTTGCTGACTGTCAGCACAGCACAGTACCAACATTCAAACATCACTTCTTGTGTTCCCCCAGTGCTGCAAGCCAAGGGTCTGTGTCATCAGAGCATCCTGACAATAAACTCTCCAACTCTTAAGAAGGAATCACCTCTCTTGCTTACAAATATAGCTTCAATTACCAGAACTCTTACTCCATCCCTCCCTGCTCTGTATCTTYAAGAGGTTTGTGTCTTTGGAAATAAAAGTGGAGATTGTCCACAGGAGCTGCTATTGCACTCTTTAGGATGGAGAGGGCTTTCTCAGGTGAATACACTCACTGACAATTTTAAGGAATGTAGGTGTTTTCCTCAAAGCTGATCCAATGCAGTCAGCAGGGCCATTCTCCCCTCCTCAGCCAGCACACATTTATACTCTTAAATTAAGCAATCTCTTCYGCCAAAAAAACTTCACAAGGACCTTGGGTTTTAAACTCTCCCTTTACAATCAGAATTCCAATACCTAAATTAAATACTGTAAGCATAAACTCTTACCAAACTATTGCACTGATATACCCAGAGGCTGCATTCTTCAGAGGCTGCATCTGTTGTCTTCAAAGCCAGTAAACTTTTTCCTGCTCCCAGACCATCATCATAGCAGACCATCCTYACAATCAAATAGAGAGCATGCCTGTGTAACACGTCCTGAAAGCAMATGGCAAATAAATGTTACTCTGGAACAGTGCAACAGCTATTTCARTTTCCCATGTTTTTATTCTCACTTACAAAAGAATACTTCAGATTTATTTGCAGAAGGAAAGTATTCCTTGTAATTTTTTTTTTTACTTCAGAGTTCAGTCAAGGTTTTTGAAAGTGGTGGTTTAGCACAACTTTAGTTTAAATTTTTGCTTCTATTTTAGAAGTGCATTCCTATGTACACTATGAAGAAAAGCTGAGAGAGYTGGAGTTGTTCAGCCTGGAGAAGAGAAGGCTCTTGGGGAGAGAAGGAGGGTATCTGAAGGGGGCCTGCAAGAGAGCAGGAAAGGGACTTTTTACAGAGGCATATCGTGACAGACAAGGGATTGGAATGGCTTCAAATTGTGCAAGTGGTGAGGCACTGGAACAYGTTGCTAAGAGAAGTTGTGGATGCCCCATTCCTGAAAATGCTCAAGGTCAGGTTGGATGGGGCTTTGAGCAACCTGATCTAGTGGGAGGGATCCCTGCCCATGGCAGGGGGGTTGGAACTGGTTGGTCTTTCCAATCCCTTCYAACTCAGCCCCTCCCATGATTCTATGATGACATTCCTGGCCATACTATGAAAGTTCACATTCGCCCCCCTACCAACCCTCACTCATTTTCCATGACAAGTAGGACGCTCCTTCTGACACAGAGGTAACTTAAAGCAACTTCTTACTTTTCCAGTATTTTTCCAGACAATACTGTCTCAGTCTTGGAAAGATATACACTGTTCCCAGAAGAGGGTATAGACAAGGTCAGTTGCTTTGGGAGGCAGCAGCCATGTCGTGGTAGCCAGGCTATTTGTGACCTAAGCCACAGGATATATCCTGACTCTTCTACAGATTCCATCTGGAGAATTCTACTCTCCATCAGAGCTGCCATGTTTCCACCACAGTCCCAACACTTCTGACTCTGGCCATTCCAAAAAGTGATTGTAGAGGCCACTCAGTGCAAGGTCTCTGCAGCCCTACCCTACACTAAGCCTTTCTTCTGGAGTTATCCTACCCTCTGATCATACTCATCAGTTTATTTCAGTCAYATCACCTCCACGGTCTTGGGAATTCAAGACAGCTCTGTTTGCATATTCATGACATCAAACACCTATCCCTGTCAGATGAGGATCTAAAGAAATGCCCACTTTGATACAGAAGCTGTAAAAAGGGGCAGTGAGCTTGCGGCCTGCCTTGAGACCCTGGAGGGAAAGCCCTCTACCAGAGCCCTAAGGTCACCTTGACTAAAAACATTTCCATCCCTAATGCTCACTTGACTCATTGCTCACACTGCTSTCACCATCAGCAACTATCACTGCATGTTCAGGGCAGCGGGAGCCCACCTGGAACTTACTGGATCCACCCTCCCAGTTTTGTATGAAAGATGCCAAGACTTCACCAAATTACTAAAAACACTCTAGGGTTTTTGACTTGCTTGAAAATTTCTTGAAAATTGCTACAATACTTATATGCATCTGGWTTATCACAAAAAGAGGGATAACAGAATTCTTGTAAATTAATTTCCTCCCCTCCTTTCAGTATCTTGGAACTCTGTGAAAAGAATTTGGTGATCTAACACACTAAAGGACAAATTAAATGCCAACAGTGACACAGATGGAAAAAGCCAGAATTTGGGAAACAATGCAATGCAATAAATTGYCAGTGCAAGCTAGCTTAAACACGAAAGGCTTTATCAGCTTTTGCATGCTTTCAGTTTGAAGACAGAAAATGATGAATGAAAGTCCTAAATTAGCTATTTGTCCTTTATCAAAATACAAAGGAATTTAAATAATAGTGTAACCTATGTTTTTAATGAGAATTAAGAATTTAGAAGGCAGCAAAAACAGAATCCAAAAGAATTCWAAGTCAACTACTACCCTTCSTCCCAGGCACTACAAACAAGTGTTTTATTCTCTGAAGGGACCAAGAGAAACTCTGGCTGTCTTCAGAGCATTCAGCTACTGAGCAATGGTATTCTCCATCCTCATACTTGAGGCTTTTATGAASAGGCATTGCTGGGTTGTTGATGGGTCATGGCTTCATAAGGCCAAGTATTTATGGTATCTGGGGCTCTGAGGGCAACCAGAAGGAAACCACATGGCTGCAACACAAAGCTACACAAAGAAAACTGGTGGGCCCTSGGGAAGAGACCGGATTTTTATTTTTAGCAAAGAAGCTACTTGAAGTGCACCAAACGAAAATAAACTACATGTAGGAAATGATGCAAACAAAAAGTAGGCTTGATCAATAAAGTGGAATCATGAGGCTTTAATGCTGAAGTGAACTCTTAACTCTTGAATTAGGAGTGCAAGGATGGAACTTAAAAGAGCTGGACAACTCAGGTACTCTTAAAAAAACACCATCCTTTGTTTTTCCCTCTTCACAGAAACACCAAGAGAAACTGCATTACTAACTCAGGCTGAAGAACCTATAGTCTTGGCCACCGCAGTCACACTACTTTCCCCCATGAGAAAATGGCAGGACAGCCACAGAGGAAAGAAGATGTGCCCAAAGAGCATTGCCAAAGGCTCRCTTGCCTTTCATCTGGTGCTCTATCTCAAAAGGAACGGCTTTTTGTCGTAAGTCCAACCAGGAAAAAACAGACAGCCCTGCAGAGATACCACATGAAGCAGTGCTGCTGGGRGAGCTTGTTTGTTTGACTTCTGCTTGAAGTCAGAAATGACATTTTGACTCACAGATCATCTACCAGAGAAAACAATGACAAATTTCCAACTCTCATCAGAAAGACACATTTAGGAAGCACTTACATACTGATCAGATGTGGAGACTTTAATGCCGTATTTGGAAACTCCCATAATAAACTCCTCTTCACCTGGAACAAAAGGTAACTTTCCATCTTGCTTTGGAGGGAAACAAACAAAAGCCTTTAGTGCAGACAGAAGAACATGAACAATGAAGACACATAACAGAAAATGTATTTATGTGTACTTGGGTCCACTGGGTCAGCACCACCATGAACAGATCCTGCTGTGTGGGGTCTGCCCATCCCTCATGCACTCATCCAATCTCCTAACATTATGTGAAATACATTCAGGGGAGACTGGACATTAGGAGGCATTTCCTCAGAAGGTGACCAGACACTGGAACAGGYTTCCTAGAYAGGTGTTTGAGGCCTCAAACCTGTAAAAYGTTTAAGAGGCATTTAGACAATGCCTTTTACAACACATTTAACTGTCAGYCCTGAAGTGGTCAGGCAGTTGGACCAGTGGTCACTGTGGGTCCCTTCCAGCAGAAACACTCTATTCCATTGTGTTCTATTCTAATCTAAATATTACATGGTTCCAGAAGGGAATTTATCATCTCAGGGGAGAGTTTGGCCCTGTGGTCAAATTAGGTCAGCTGCAAAATCATGCATGGCCTATCATGCTGCACTGACCCAGGTGATCTGTGTTCCACACTGGCAGTACTTTTGCTGTTTGGCTGCAAAAGTAGTTTTAGCACATCTTCAGATTGTTGAAATGTCAAGTTGCTGAATGATAAACAGACATTCTGTGCTTTTAGAAAGATATAATCAACTACCTAATGAGAACAACTAGTTATGGCTTTTAGTACAAAAATAAGTACAACCAACCAGAGTTTGGCAAGGATGAACCCTTATTCAGGTTCTTTGGTCACAGGTTCATGAGTGATTGCAATCAGAAACWTGACATTGTCCTCTATGGGAAAAACTTTTACAGTACTGAGGAAATCTGGAGGAGATATTCCTTCCTGGATACTAATCCTAATAGTGCTGGAGGCAATGTAACAGCTTTCAGCTAGAACACTTGTTCARTAAAGACTCATGAAAAGGGCCCTGGCTCTGAGCCTGCTTCTGCAGAACAGTTCTTTGGGCGCATCTTCTCCAGTTAGTTAAAATGTTAGAACTGTGTGTGATGGCTTTTGAGACTCAAAGCTTAACCGTTATGTATGTCACTTTCTCCAAGTAAGTCTAAAATGCACAGATCTCAGACCACAATGAAAGGAACACACCTAAGCTTAACATGTTTTGACATGGTATTGCCTTCTGTAACCCACTTACCTGTGCAACATCTATGTAATTTATCAAGTCCAGTGGCCCTTCGAGACTTTTGCTCTCATTGTATTTCAATTTTTCAATGGCACCAACATACTTAACTCTGAATTCTGCACATGTATCAGAATTACTATTGCTTTGTCCTGCAACAAAGTAAAACAAAGCCATTCTGAAGACTTCCAAAACTGCAAGGCTGTTCTAGTTGCTGTTAACAGGGCAAACATACTAAATTCCCTAATTTTTCAGAGTTTGATCAAACACTTGTCCTTATCACAGTATATTAACTCCTTTTTATTGAACTGTCCTGCRTTCATTTAGAAGACACCTTGGTAAAGGCAACAGTTCCATATGAAACCATGATACAGCACTGTTTATACCAATTCAACTTTGGAATTAACAACCTTGAAACAGARAACGTAGAAAAGCTGCTTTTACTTCTTGATGTATATTTATGTTTGACCCAACAGTGATACACTGTAATCTAGTGACTAAAACCAAGAAAAATCAAATCTTATTTCCATTATTTTGGTGCAAATGTAAACTTAGAAAAGCAGAAATCAGCCATCCAAAAAGCTGTACCATATTTATGCTGGTAACAGACTGGTAAGACAGCTAAGTTTTTCTTCCTCAAACACTTTACTTTGAAAACAGTAACTTAATCCTAGATACATAAGTAATAATACTTAGAGGCCTAGGGCTATGCATGCATTAGTCACCAGAGTACCTAACAGATCCACTCGTATTACTGAAAATACTAATTTCAACTTTTCCATTTTCTGCTGTTTTATACAAACACACATAGAGTTAATCCTGCTCCATTCATATCAGCCCAAGCTCTGATTACATACCTGAACTTTTTGTGGAGTCTGTATCTAGACTGGCCACAGTACTAGACCTAGAAAGTCCCCCAAGACTGGAATCTACAGACTAAAAAAAAAAAACAAACCAGCATCATCAGAAAGTTCCTGAGAATGTATTAACAATGCAGTTCTATATGTCCTGCCTAACCCTGTTTTTTAAAAAGACCCTGTTGAATATGTTGCAGTTACTTCAGCATCACTGTAAAATGGGGAGGAAAAAGCAGTACCACCCGTTTCTTTCCTGAAGTTATCTTTCTGCCTCAATGCAGATTGGACTGATAAAAGTTCAACAGGAACCTCTGAGAAGTCCACAGGTATTTTGAAAGGTRGAGGGGAAATGACAGAAAAAGAGAAATTTAATGCTATGCCCAGACAAAAAGGGAAAATTAATCTTAGGGTTATTCCAAACTTTTCTGGTACTGTATTTTAACCTGAAAAATTGACAACCACATGCTTATCATCAAAACTTGAAATAACATAGCAATGCAGAGAAAATGAAACAGCACCTTGGAAAATCCAGAATATTCAACTCATTGTTTTAGAACACWTAAGAAAAAACAAACAAATTATTCAAAATTAAGAATACTTTTAGAGATACTGAGAAACAAAGTGGTTCTGAAGGATAAACTCATTCTTGGTATGTAGCACCAGGCACTATCTTTAAAGACAAAATTTAAGAACAAATGTGTACTAATTTCTCTTCCAAACCTTACTATGTGCTGCCAGAAAATCTTGGGTTTTTGCGTTTCACTGTGGAAGTGACTGAATATTCATCTCAGAATACATGGGCTTTATGATGAATAGATATTTTTAACTCTCATAACAATCTGAGGGATGGAAGTAGAAAGTTCTCCTTGTCCAATATGGTATTTTATGGAAATCACATCCTACCATCAGTGCCAGTGAACCACTGAACTGTTAACTTGTAACAAACAAAAATGCTTCACAAAGAGAATAAACACCACATTCAGCTTACCTTGCTTTTCGTGCTGATTTCACTGCTTTGTGAGCTGCTRCTGCTGTGTCGCTTTTTTCCTTTCCTAAACATTTTTTCATAATTGGATCAAGGAAGATCTTCTAGGTAGAAAAAATAAAAATGAAAGCTTGTCATATCATCAGGGGAAAGAGGTCCAGACAAACACTCATGATTGTGTCCAAAGCGGACAAAAAGTGAAAACTTGTACAGGACTCTGTGAGTGGAGGTAGGAATTTTAYTCTGGTACTGTTCACATGTGACTGGGGAAAGTTTCTCAAGCTCTCTGCTAAAACTTCCCTATCCTTCTGAACTGTCAAAAACCGCTACTACCCAGTTTACAGACTGTTGCAAGGGTCGGTTTCTAATGCACATACAAATCTGAATCATGGCAAAATTTAAAATTTGTATTTCCACCAAAATGCATTAGATTATTTTTATTTGTGACTACAACATAAGTGCCCTATAAAGTGCATCCAGTGAATTTCCCACTCCAATGACTGTGTTTCCAGTTAAACAAAAAAAAAAAAAGGGCAAAATCTATCCCCCATGACCAAACACACCCACCCACCCACACCCACAACCAAACAAAAAAAACACAAAAACCCCATCCCAACCTACTTCTGAAGAACTACTGATTGGAATATTCATAAAAGCAGCCATTACTATGGAACATATTTCTGAAAATTAAAGCGAGATGCATGGTACATTTACTGCATTAGAACTGAGTTGCTGGGAGTTCTGAGAGCATTCAGAAGCATTTTTCCGGTGCCTGCCCTGCTACCACTACCTTTCTACACTTAACATTTGGCTGCCGGTGTCAAGCAACAGAATGCTGCTGTCACTGGCTCCCTGTCGGGGAGCGCTCAAACCCTATTTCTCAGCTTCAGAGACGAATTATTTTCATTACAAAACTTCATAAACTTTGAGCAGGTGGAAGAAGGAGAACAAAGGAAGATGCCAGCCCACGGAAGACAGCTCGCACTGCAGAAGATAATGTAAGAAGCAGAAGGCGRAGCTCAGATGTGCGATGCAGCGATGGATCACAGGCCCTAGGCCGCCGCTGTGGCCGTCACTAAGCAAACACTGGGTCCCTGGCGGGCTAAAAGCCACTCCTGGCATCCAGCTGTGCCCAAGGCAGAGCGGCCCCCAGCACATGCCGCTCCCCCGAGCCCCCAGCATGGATCTGCCATCCTGATACCTGCACAGCGCCCGCAGCCGCCACAGGAGCGGCCCCGCCGGTTSTGCCAGCGGCCTCCGCGCACGGCTCAGCACCCGCTGCACCCCGAGCGCCCTCAGAACTGAGGGGAGCCCTCGGCAGCTCCTGCGCGTCCCGCGGAGCATCTCTGACCCCACGGCTGCGGGGAGCGGCCCGGGAAGCCGGGCAGGACAGCACCGCATCCTGCCTTCGCTTCTCCCCCCCCGCTCCTCCCTCCGTACCCGGTCGATAACCCGACAAGTGCCAGAGCGACGTCCCCGCTCACCGGGCGCGCTGGGCCCCGCTCGCTCCCGTTCCCGTTCCCGTTCCCGTTGCCGTTGGCGATGTCGCCTCCTCTCCCGATGCCGCTCCCTCTCCCAAAGCCGCTCCCTCTCCCGATGCCGCTCCCTCTCAAAAAGCCGCTCCCTCTCCCGATGCTGCTCCCTCTCCCTCTCCGTTCCCGATCCGTTCCGGGTCGCGCGGGGCGGGCGCAGGCGCAGGCGCGGGCGGGCGGCGGAAGGCGGCGGGAGCGGCGCGATGGCGGCCAAGCGCAAGGCGGAGGCGCTGATCCCGGCTGAGGAGAGCGACCAGCTGCTCATCCGGCCCCTGTGAGCCCGGGGGCTGCGATGGGCTCGGGGCACCGCGCTGGGAGCTGCTTCTTTCCCTGATAAACATGCCACTGCGGGCTCAGGGGGGTTCTGGTAGCGCCACAAGCGTTGTTTTGGGGACAGTTTGAAGATGCTACTCCCGGCTTATTCGGCCCGGTTTTTGCTTGGGTGAAATTTCATTACACTTGTCAAAGTTTGAGACTCGAATGCTCGGTAAAAAACGGAAGAGGCCAAAATAATTTCCTCGAACAGGTTGTTTTTATTTCTCCTGCGTTACGTAGGGCCTCGTTTCCTTTGAGATAAGTACAGCCGCTCGGTTACTTTAGATATCTGAGCTTAAAAGGGCCGTGCAGTTGTTATTTCTATACAGAGAAATAATCCCAGTAAAGGCACCCAATGTAAGTATGTCTATGTGTTGTGGATTGTTTCAGTGCTCATGACTTTGATATCGTTTTGCAGAGGTGCTGGTCAAGAAGTAGGAAGGTCATGCATCATTCTGGAGTTTAAAGGAAGAAAAATAATGGTAATTATTGCCTGAATATATTTGTATACCCTTTCAGTGTGGTACTTCCTATCACCAAAAAATTAAATGTTAAATTCAGGCTGTGCGCTGAAGTCAGACACAGTGCTAGAAAAGGCACATTTTGTGGCTTTCTGAAGCAGTATAGCATGTATGATAGTAAAGATACAGAGGCTGACCTGTAAAATAAATCCACATTCCCAAACAGAATGTAATTGTCTGAAGTGCGGATTCTAAGATTTTCCTATTCAGGTTTTAGTGGAACATACGGCTAATGTTTGCCAACAGTTATGTTGGTGTGAACGGTCACCTGTCAGGATGGGTTCTCTCCCTCATTGCCAGCTGTCCTCAGCTGGTGGCTGAAATAACTTGCACACACTGGTTCTGAATGGTTAGGTGATGTGGAAGTGTGGATGAAGGCTTGCATGGATATAAAATTATAAACCAAGGTTGGGATTTTTGAGAGCTGTTTCCTGGTGGAGAAAAGAAGCCCAGCATGAGGAGGATGTGAACCTGCTGGAGCCATTCCAGAAGAGGCCACAAAGATGATCAGAGCACCTCTCCTACAGGGGAGGGCTGATAGTTTGGCTGGAGAAGGGAGGGCTCTGTAGGGGAACTTGGAGCAGCCATTCAGTACCCAAAGCAGCCTGCAAACAGCTGGAAAGGGACTTTTTGCCAGTGCATGTAGGGATAGGATAAGAGGGAGTTGTTTTAAAGTAAGTGAAATTTAGATCAATGTTAGGAAGAAGTTCTTCACYGTGAGGGTGATGGGGCATTGGGACAGGTTGCCCAGAGAAGGTGTGGCTGCCCCATCCCTGGCAACTAAGGCCAGGTTAGGTGGGCCTTTCAGCAACCTGGTCTAGTGGAAKGTGTCCCTGCCAGTGGCAGGGGGGTTGGAACTAGATCATCTTTCAGGTGCCTTCCAACCCAAGCCATTCTACTTGGAATCCAATGCTAAAAGTAATGTTTAATGAAAAAAGACCTTTTTTTCATTATTCTAAAAGTTACCAGTCACTAATAACTGATCCATGACATAGTCTATGATCCAAAATGGAAGAGGGTTTTTTGTWTATTCTGTTAGAAGCTTTAACTTCCTTTCATTTTTCAGCTTGATTGTGGAATCCATCCTGGGYTGGAAGGAATGGATGCTCTTCCTTACATTGATTTGATAGATCCAGCTGAGATTGACCTCCTCCTCATCAGTCAGTAAGTGACATCTGAAAGAACAAATAACTTGAGCATGGTCTGAGCTGTGTTCACTTGTGCATTATTAAGAGAGGCTGAMATTAGGCATTATTTAGATGGTATAGAAAAATTTTAGTTACCGGATTTTTTAAAAAAAGTTTGAAGGACCTCCATTTAGAATTAGGGACTAAGGGTGTTCATTCACCTTTGACATTACAACTCTTCAGTGAGCTCACTGTGATTTCRGACTCTTTTATAACCTAGCCTGATTTAACACCATTGTGACAGGTTCTAGAGTGTTTTCTACACAAAGACGGTAGAAGAGTATTGGTTATATTTTTTGCTCTATTGGCTTTGAATGAAAATGTTCTGGGAGACTTACACAAGCTTTAAATGTGATTTAAGTATTGCTTAGTGGCTGAAAGATGAGGAGAGCTGTTTCTAAGTGATGTAATCAGTAATAAACAGGTCTCTATAAAATCTTGAGTTTTCGTGGTATGTGTATTCTACCTGTATTTCAAAAATACTTTCTTAATATAGGTCAAATTAGAAATGTGAACAAATAATTTGATTTTAATCTCTAGTGTGCAACATGCAAAATTAGAATAATGCTTTTAGCTTTCTTGTGTCTTTGATGTTTATTGTGTCACTGATTCCTGTTCCTTTTCTTCCTCTAAATTTATATGGAAATTACAAAAAGAAGTTAAGTCTGATATATACATGTAAGACTTGGATAATTAGTAGAGAATTTCCTGTGTTATTTTCTTGGTTGTATTTTAGTCACTAGACTGCAGAATATAGACCAGCACAGTTAGCAAGGTTAAAAAGTCTGTTTCTGGATTTTCATGACACCATGTTAGTCCAGTGAAGAAGTGAATTATAGATATTATATATTAGTGTTGTGTAATATGAATGTATTAATTGGATTTGCATGTCTGTTTTAAGTTTTCATTTAGATCACTGTGGGGCTTTACCGTGGTTTTTACAGAAAACAAGTTTTAAGGGAAGGACGTTTATGACTCATGCCACAAAAGCTATTTACAGATGGCTTCTTTCAGACTATGTTAAAGTCAGGTAAGCTAATGGGTGGTCTCTTCCTGAATTGTTTCACCTATACATCCCATGGGAAACTTAAGATGAAGCTTCCAAAAGTAGCTGGATGAACCTGGATGCTGTCATAAGTAGCACCATTACATATAACCAGATTAGAAGTAATGAATTATCTTACTACCTCATGGATAGTTTGTAGTGAATTTTAAGTTCCTAAAGATACAAATCACTCTTCAGGACAAGGACAGATTAAATATTAAATGTACAAAGAGTGCTCTGTTATGTACATGTTGCGGTTCTTTTCTCTTTTATCTTTTTTGTCTTCTTGAGTTTCATGGCTTCACACATCATTGCCATGTGACTGCAGTGTTCCTGAGCATTATCTCAGCTGTTTTGATCTTAAATCAGAAACCTGATCCTCTTACCTTGTGTGTTCTGGGCTGGTGGGAAAAGCTTGGATCCATGTGGTTTTTCAGGACTGTTACAAGATAAGTTGCAGATCTCTCTCCAGGGCTGGGAATCCATTGATACTTTAAGAGAAATACCAAGCAGATTCTGAACTGAAAAGACTGTTCTAGCCTAGCCTTTCARAAGAAAGATGCTTTAATTCTCCTTAGATGAGCTACATTAGAGTACCTGGACTTGATCTCTAAAATAGGAGGTGTGGTGTTACAGAACGAAAATCTGTCAGTGGGGAAAAATCCAGAAAGTGTTTTTTTGAGCTGTTCTGATAAGCTGATATTTAGCCATTTCACTTACATCCAGTAACATCTCAGCGGATGACATGCTCTACACAGAAACAGACCTTGAAGAAAGCATGGACAAGATTGARACCATCAACTTCCATGAAGTGAAAGAGGTGGCAGGAATCAAATTCTGGTGCTACCACGCAGGCCACGTTCTGGGAGCAGCCATGTTTATGATTGAAATAGCTGGTGTGAAGGTATTTTCTCTTTGTTACGAGTAGAAATCAAGCCTGAGTACTAATGTAGTCATTAATTATTTATTATTGTTATGCCCCACCACTGTGGCTGTCCAGTAGAYTTGGACTCAAGTCAAAGTGAGAGGCCTTGAGGTATTTTCTTGTTGATTAAAACTGGCAAGTGACATCAAGATCAGGTAAAATGTTTGGATTGTGTGGGAGACTGAGACATTTCTCAGACCTGGAGCCACCAAACATGTAGTTTTCCTTGCTGATCTGATCAGAGGCAGCTGGTAGCTTGAGGCAGTTGTGTGGAAGCTGCCTTTTAGTAAAACCTGTGAACAGATGTTTGTTTCTGGAATTCTCATTTACGTGACTGCCTGTCTCAAGTGCTAGAATGACACTTGTCAATGTATGTAGTTACATTTTTCTCACAAWGTTCTTATACTAAAGTACCTAAAGAAATTGGATTATTATTAATTTTRGGCACAGAGGGATTAAGTAAATCATCATTTAATCCCAGGCAGCACTGTGCCAAAACCAGATACTTGAAACTCATGMATTGGAGTTCAGCAAGACAACCACCGTCCAAGGAGGGTTTCACACAGCCTTGAAGAGGGAAGAGAGAAGGTGGTTCTGAGGCTTGCTGCCCAGTTGGAGTTTGTTCATTATTTATAATGGTTGAGAATGATTAGAGTTTAAAAAAAGCCTAGAAATAGAACCAAGTTTACAATGATCATGATAGAATTTAGATCTCTTAATGTTGCTCTTTTGGTTTTTTTCTGATAGAGGCATGATGATGAAAATTYCCCTCTTACTGTGCATGACTCAAATGGATCGGGTTTTAGTATCTGTTATTTTCTTTAATTCCCTGTGAAGAAACTGAAGGTTGTGATAGTAGGTTACCTGGGAGATCRGGTATCTGCTATCACTAACTAGATGTTATTTATTATTCACATTTCCATCAGTGGAATTGCTGTTAAATAAATAAATGCTATCAGTTTGGGTGCAGAAAGTTGCATTCCTCCCTGGAGTTAAGAATCCATTAAAAGTACATAACGGTTAAAAACTACTTCTTGGTG